GGGTCGGTTCCGGGGCCCCCGGCTGCCCTGCAGCACGGTGCTGCTCCCGGGTTGACCGGCCTCGGGCGGAGGCGGCCGCTGGCTACCCACCCGAGGGCTGCGGCCCCGACCTCCCCCGGGTTATTAGGAATAGAGAGCAGGCTGGCAGAAATGCAGTTTATTCAGCTGAAGGACAGCAAGCGGGGGAAGCGCTCTTGCATCTTTCCCTCTTTTCCCCTCAGGGCGGTAATAATCCGTCCCTCCTCACCCCGTGGCCTCGGGTGCACCCACCCTCGTCCAGCCGCGCTCCCGCGGCCTCCCTGGAGCGCCTGGGCGATGCAGGGCGCTCGGTACCCGCAGGGTCACTGGGTGGCTGGAGCAGGGGGACAGATGCTCTCCGGGACAAGGGATGAAAGCAGGCACGGTCTCAGCGGGGGACGGCTGCTGGTCTGTGCTACCCTCAGTGGGATCTGGAGGTGTCTTCCAGGAATGGAGCCCCAACTACTCCAGCCTGCGAGCACCCTTTCCAGCCCAAGGCTTGGAAGAGACGGGAGACACGGGTCAGCGCCAGGGTGCGGATGCTTAGCAAGGGATCCTCCGCTGCAGGGAGGTGCTCTGTTTCCACCTGCACCACGTCCTCCACCCGCACGAGAGCTCGGCAGAAGCGTCTCCTCTCCCACCCAAGCCACCATGCTGTGTCTCTGTGGCACCGAGGAGGCTGCCTGAGCCGTGATCCCCGCTGTGGATGGGGACGCCGCGGTCACTACAGGCCTGCACAGCCAGGGCTCCTGCTCCCGTTGCTCGCGCTGTCCCAGATCTGCAGTCTCGTCTGGTTCTGTGCCCAGGCACAAATGCTGCCGACGGCTGGCCCCGCTCTGGGGCCGTGGGCAGCAGAGGCGGCAGTCAGCAAGCTCGGGAAGCAGCAAGAGGCCCACGCACAAAGCGTCTCTGTTCACACTGGGTACCCGCCCGCGACACTCCCTGCGGGAAGCACGTCAGAGGGAGGCACAGGACGGCTTCAGCATTGTCAGAGGCTCGGTGAGGATGGGTCGGCTTTGCGGTGGAGCTCAGGCTTCACCGAGAATAGGCAGCAAAGACATTGTACAGACAGATGATGTGTTGGTCCCCAGAACTGAGTCAGACTGGATCCGCCTACGAGGCATCAGTCCACCCACA